CGTTCACTTTTGCCTAGGTACCTCCACGAGATCGCTAACAAAAGAGTATAGCTTGATGAAAAAGACGCCAAACTTGACGAAAACAAAATTTTATCGTCTAAATGTTTATTATTAAGAGGAAAGATCAAAGTATTTTTGGGGTATTTTTTTCCATTTTTTTTAATCGTTCCTAGCATGTCCAAAATTTTCGTTAAAAATGTAGTTTTTTGAGTCGGCAAAATTGACCATTTTTTTCCCATTTTTAAAAAAAAAACTGGAAATCTCACTTTGAAATTCTTTTAAATATCAATTATCATTTTCTCAAAACTTATTTTAAGAAAATCAGAAATTATGTTTATTTAAAATATTTTGAACCAACTTAACTTAGCTTTTGTGCCAAAAAGATGTAATTTGAAAATAAAACAAAGCAGGTCATAAACTTTTGCGTCTCTTGACAGGTGATGAATGGCATATTTACTAATTCCATGAGGCTAATTTGTTCTACGGAAGGAGAAAAGTGAAATAATTTACATTTAAGTGAACAAATTATTTATCTCATTATTTTTAATGAAAACTTTCAGCAGTCTTTTTTTTTTTTTTTTTTTTTTTTTTAACTTATCTTTCACCTTTGTTTATGATGCTTTATGGAAAATATATTCTAAAGTAATTAAAATAAGACTGTTAAGAGTGATATTAAATTTCATATTTCCTAAGAAAGGTATCTAATTAATTTATAGGTACCTTTCTTATGAAATTTTATCAGAACTGTACATAAAATACTATAATTTTATGTACATTTATTACATTTTACTGTTATTTGTATTTGCATTTATTTTATTATTAATTTTGATATTTCATTTATGGAAAAAATGTCATTACTGAGATTAATATAAAAATAAGATCATATAAATTTCCTAAGATGATACTGATACTTGTAGGTACCCTTCTCAGTTAAAATTGAAAAATCAAATTAACTTCTCAACATGTTTCGCAAAAGCAAAGGCCTTAACAGCGGAGAACAATGCTTAACTCAAATAACGCAACTTAATTATATTCTGGTTGGTCTTCCATACTTTATAATTACAGCCTGGTTATAAGCACAAAATTACATTTCTTAATTACTGCAGATCTTTTGATTAGTCAAAATGATACAATTTACAACGCGCTAAAAAAGATCTATCTCATAAGGACACTTAGGAAAGCCGATCGGCTTTTAACTAATTTTATAATATTTTAACAACTTAAATGTAAAATCTATTATAATTAAAGAAATAACAAATTTCATAAAAAAAAATTTTTGCTTTCAGAAAATATTGTCCATATTCATAAAAACAACTAAAAGCAAATAAAAGCATTTGAAATTAAATATCTTTGTTTTATTGAGTTTTGTATGTTACAATTCAGAGCTGATTTTCAGGTAATGCAGATCCAATTAAAAAAAAAAAAAAAAAAAAATTTGCATCCCTCAAAGCCCTGTGCTTTTAATTATTGTAATCACTAAACCCGATGTGATCGAATTTCTAGCGTTTTCATAAAGTTAGTTAGGCGGGGTAATAAATATTTTAAAAAATATTTTTACCCTGACTTAAAAAAAAACAAAAAAAAAAAAACATAATAATTTCGATCATCTGTGAATAGTTCCTGAAAGTTTCATTAATATCCGACAATTATTTCTATTTTTGCACGATTTTTCAAATTAATGTGTCATACCAAAAAAACGTGCTAAAAATTGTCTGTTATTTACTAGTTCCGCTGATACAAATAGAAACAAGGTTTTTTTTAATCAAAATTTAGAATTTTCTAAAAAGGAGGAAAAATTTTTTTAAATAATTAAAAAAAACTTTGGTCTTTCCTCTTAATAATAACATAAGCATTTAGACAATAAAATTTTGTTTTCGGCAAGGTTGGCATCTTTTTCATCAAGCTATGCTCTTTTTTTAGCAATTTCGTGGAGGTACCTACTTTTGCTAATCCTTTTGGGAAAGGCATATATCCATCTCTCCTCTCCCTAAGTAATAGCAAAGTAAATGTTGAGTGCCAGTCTAGGATGGCTATTCAAAATTCTACACCAGGGAACAAGAAATCGATTGACTTTCTCATCAAGTCATAGCATGGTAGATAAGAAAAAAGTTGTTGTATATAAATGTGTGTGTGTGTATATGTATAATTAGATCAGTCGATTCTGCAACCTTTGTTTAAACCTTTTGGTATCATCAGGCAGTTTGTATCAGTTGATTTGCCAACACTTTATTTTTAAAAAGAATTATTAATAAATGTTTTATTTTAAAAATAATAAACAAATGCACGACGTTTGGAAAGGATGCTAAGGAGTAGGAGGAAAGAAAAGGTTTTGTAAAAGTCTAAGTGGGGGTGGGGGGGTAAATGAAATGTACATATTTTTTATCCCACCACATGAAATTAAGAGGGATTTTTTTTTTTCTTTATATGAATGCAACGGATCAATCTCGGATCTGGAAATGCCATTATTGCTAACTTTTCTTGTTGGCAGATATTGTAGATGTTGTTATGGTTATTGTATGGTTTCACTTTCTTTTTTTTGAATTTTCCAGTTTATACTTGGGTCTTTGTTGTTTCTTTAGATTAATATTCACATGTTTACCTAGTCTGGTAGAGTTTCTAAGATTTTCCAGTTTTTTTTTTTTTTTTTTTTTTTTTTAATTTGAAAGCTCTACATGTTGAATTTTTATTTTTCACATGTGCATTCGGCATTTTTAATATTACCGTTCCCTGGTCTTATCCAACTCTGACCATTTAACCTTTTCAGTAATATATATATATATATATATATATATATATATATATAGATGCATAAATGCTGATGCTAAACTCCGGAGAGCAACACAGTGCACCTTCATGTTTTTCACTGACATTAAATGGAGCAACTATATCAAATCAACTGCTTTATACACTGCAAGGAAAGTTGGTTCTTTGTGTTTTACCAGAAATTTTTTTCTCCTCAGAATACATCTTGCTTATTTAGAAATCTGCTATTCATCCATGAATTGAATACAGTTGCCATATCTAGTCTGGTTCTCCTGCTGTACATCTTGATTTTTTTTTAACAAAATTCAAACAAGGATCTGTAATCGATCCTGACCTGGCATCTCGACTTCAATCACTTTCTCACCAACATGACGTGGCTTCCTTCTCTTTTCTACAAATATTTTCATGGCAACTGCTCTGGCAAGCTTTTTTTACCTGGTGCCCCAACTTCATGAATTTAAGCATGCTAGATTGGCATCTAGGTCCCACCTATTTTACTGTTGAAATAGCTAAATGCAACTGCTTCTTCTACTCCAACAGTTTCTTTTCTTGCACTTCCCATCTGTGGAACTATCTTCTGTTTACTTGCTTCCCTGATAACTAGAATCTTCAAAAATTTAAATCCAATGTCAGTTGCCATCTTCACTCTTCTTGAAGCACATTCATCTTTAGTTTTTTCCTCAATCCTACCTATTCTCGGTCTTCTCTTTCACTTTTATTCCCTGTAACCATCTGCATACTAGTTATATTCCAGTCTTGCTTGGAGTGAAATGCTTAAAAGAAAATAAATCAATGAATAAATTTAAATACTTTTTTGTTAATTTTGGTGCATTCAATACATTTAGGTGCCATGATGGGCTAATGAATAGCTGCTTAGACTGAGGACTCTGAGAGCCAAGTTCAAATTCCAGTCAATTTTATTACCTTCACTTACATTGGGGAAGGTATGAATTCATCTCTCCTTCCTAGTTATGGGTAAATAGCAGGACAGACTGGATCCTATAGCAATGATTGGCAACCAGTCTAGTAGAAATGAAACTCTGAATTCAAACCACCTGCTATCTTGTAGCCTCTACCTTGTAGGCAAAGGCTAGAAGGTAACTTCAAAAGCAAATCCACCTCGCATGTCTTCTCAAAGAAAGGAACTCTACTTTAAGATGCAATTAGTACAATGGTTTGAGCAAGCACAAGACTAGGACATGACAAGGCATATTGGACCTCCAATATTTTGTACTATTTGCCCGTGGTACTTTATACAGCAACTCATTTAAAATATTGTTTGTGTCTTAATAGAACAGTTGCTTGTTTTTCCTTTCCCCTTTTTTTTTTCTCTTCTTGGTTGCACTTTTAATTTTTCAATGCTTCTTGTTGCTTTTTTTTCATATTAATAATATTGCTAAAAACAAAACAAAGGATAGGGTACTAAACTGTTATGTAATATTTGTCCTCCTCTATGGCAGTGAGTACTGTACAATCTCCTGAAAGATGAAGAGACTTGAAGCAACAGAAATGTAGTTCTACAGAAGAATGCTGAAGATACCATAGATCGATTATGTTAGCAATGACAAAGTTTTAGAGAGAACCAAAAAATATAACAATTATATACATCAGGAAGAGACAGCTGAAATTTCTAGGGCACATCATTAGGAAAGAGGGCTTGGAAAATCTGATACTCATAGGACACATTGAAGGCAAGAGGGACAGGGCAAAGCACCGCATAACATACTTAGTGAGCTTGGATGGTAGAACAGGGTTTATGAGAAATAACAATTTAAGTTACAAAAAGATAGGAGATTGTGGAGAACGATGATCGCATAAATCCTGAGAAGACACAACATAAAAGAAGAACTTCCACTCAGACAGGCTCTTCCCCAGAACTGTCACTTTGTTGAACAGACTTTCAAAAGAATACTACCCTAATCTCTACAATGTTAACCATTTCAAAGCTAGGGTCAACTGATATCTAGCCTACATATCCTTATAAAGGACAGGAAATTATGGAGAGCCATGATTGCCTATGTCACATAAAGAATAATATTTGTGCATTAAAATCATTATAACATTGTTTCACTTTTAATAGAACAGTTATTTTTCTTTTGTGATTTTTTTTTTTTCTCACTCGGTCATTTCCGCTGTTAACTTTTTCAATACACCTTTGTAGAATTTGAGTTAGGTATTGCAACCATGCAACAAATGCTTTGTGTTATGAGGCTGTTAAAATATCTTTTACATTTCAGATGTTAATGTGAAGGTTGAAGGGCAAGCCAATGTGTCACTTTCAGACATGGAAAGTGATGATATTTTTATTAGATGTCAACATGGAAATTGCCAATTGAAAAATGTAAAGGTCTGTGAGCATTTTTTTTTTTTTTTTTTTTTTTTCTCTCTCTCTCTCTCTCTCTCTCATCAAGTTTCAAAAGTAATGTTTGGCAAATGGTATTTACTTCTTTGGAGACTACCTGTGATAGGTGCACCCTCTTGCAAAAAAAGTTTAAATGTAATGGAAGCTACTCTTATCAAAAAGAACAACCCTTAATAACATTAATTATGGACACAGCCAGAATGTAATAGCTGTATCTGGAAATTAAAAATATATATATACTTTCAGCAAATTTCATACAGTCTACAGTAGCACTAATGGTGGAGAACATAAATATTCCCACATTGTTGGCAGAACAGCTGAAAGGAAAAGAAATAACATCCTAAAAAAAAAAAATAGGAACTGCTCAGTTTGACTCCTAGAAGCAGACATACTGACCACTTTCATCATACTATGAAGTCACGTCAATAAGTGGCAGTCATGTGACCCATGTGAGTTCATCTCAACTAAAGGGAGATAATTGCTTTTTATACCTCTACAACACTTAGACAGCTTTTATTGTAGTTGTCTAGCAAAAAATAATCCTTGTTTACAGAAATTTTATGTTAGCCTTGTTCAAGGTAAGATGTATTAAAGATGGGTTGCTGTTCCATTTAAACAACTATTTTTTGGGTGGGAAATATTTTCTATTGTTTACTTCATGGTTTCTTCCTACAAAGCTTGTCCAGTGTATGATGATAAACTCCATCCAACAACAAGGCCTCTGATTGGGAGGTTTTGAAGAGTGTGGAACCACCTCTTAACTACTGTTGTTCCCAGGTCAACCCTAAGCCAAGGTGGTAGCACCTGTTAGGGTCCCTGCTATGGGCAAATTATGGATTCCCAAACAAAAATCAAAAGTTCATATTTTTGTAATAAAATTACAAAAAATACGTTTTTATAGCAAAATGACAATGATACACTAAAAAACATAAATATACATTTTTATAGTAAAATTACCAATGATACCTTTTATGATCTACAAAATATATAATAAAAAGGCCTAAACACTAATATTCCATGGTCATAATTTATTCCATTGGAATCGTAAATACGATCCAATTCATCAGACCTACAAATTCAAAAAGTAAACAGAAAAAAACAACTCCGGAAATGAAAATAGAATTTATAGAGTGTAAGTATGAGATTGTGGGACGAATGTTAGGGCAAAGAGAGGGGTACCAGACAAGAGAAGGTGAGAGATTAAACCTTAACAGTGAGAAGTTTAGGAGAGGTGAGTGGAAGAGGGAAATATGAATGTTGTCGGATGTCTAATACATTAAAGATACATTTTGTGGTGACGTACACACACCATAGACGATCTAATGTTAAAGATCAAAATAAGAGGGAGGGAAGGAAAAGAAGGGGTAGGGGAGAGAGATGGGGCGGGGGGAAACTAAAACTGAAGGACATTTACTGAAAGGGCCGCTGTTTAATTAAGAAAATTTGGCAAAATCAATATCTACTACAGGTTACAAATCTAATATACACATATAAAAAATAAATATAACGATTATCTAATCTAGCAAGGACCTATATTTTCATGTTCAAAAACATGCAAATACACACATACATATACCCATATATACACACAGATACACACACACACATATATATATATATATATATATATATATATATATATATTCAATATGTTAGCTCTATCTCTGATATATATATATATATATATATATATATATATATATATATATATAAACAACATACCTTTACCCTGAAAGTATAAGATTATGTACAAAAATGTTTGTAGTTGGTAGACCTCATATAATTTTGCTTTTGTGGTGTGCATGTGCATGCATCTAGGTTCTAGTGGGCATTTTTGTGTATCTCTGGTAGTGTGTGTGTGTGTGTTTTATTCTTGAAGATGTTATTGAGATGATGACATGGCTGTATGTCATATTTCTATTTGGTCTTGTGGGAGTTGTCAGCATGTGTGTGTTAGAGTGAAAGACATGGGTTACATCGACCACAGGTATCTGGATCTTACATTATTTAGTACGGGTTTTACGAATGTTGATATGAAAAAGTGTCAAGTGTGTGTTCATCAATGGGAAGATATTTATTAATATTCCTTCTAAATATTTTCTTTGTACTAAAGTTAGTTCTTTTTCAACGTGTGTGGCATTTTTGAAATCAGTTATATATAATTTTTTTTACTTCATTTCAGTCAGGAAAAATTGATGTTTACTGTGAAACTGGCTCCCTTGAAAGTTCTGGTTTTCTGCAAGGAAATATCCGATTGGGCTGTGGAAATGATGGAGTAAGAGTTTTTCTTTTGCTTTCTATTAAACACAAAATCATAATATGCATATCAGAAATTTTGTCAAAATAAACTAGAATTACTGTTCTTTTTTCGATTTCCAACAGACCTCGCTATTACCATATTGTACAATCATTTCCAGCCAACATTATTGTTAGTTTTATAAAGCCACCGACATCTGAATTATACTGTTCCAAATAACTGTAAAGAAACCCCTACAAAGAACCTGGTACACTTGTTTGAGTGCATATGAACTCTAGTTTAAAATTTGGGGTATGATAACAAGCCAATTATGCCCAGACTTTAAAAAAGAAAAAAAAAACACTCTGTACACATTTGATGCCATTTCCTTAACCCCAATTAAAAGAATAGTCTTGTTACAAGTTCCATAATCAATTTGGATAGAAGGAGCACCACATGTACTGCAACCATGGCAGCAGTGGTGGTGTGTCTAGGGTAAGATAACCTGACAGAGCTCATCACTCTTCAGGCTGGTTTTGAATTCAGTTTACCCTCGAATGGTTGTCACTTCAATGTATCAGAGCCCAGTCAGCCCTGTTATTTAACCCATTGGTCGGGTGAGAAGAGTTTCATAGCCTTATGTAAGAGTATCAGTGCAAAAGTGAACACAATAAACTTGGCTCCCACCAGAAAATAAATTTTCTCTGGCAGCTGCTACAGAAGAATTTGCCAACATTACATTGTCCTCGAGAACCATTCTTGGACTCACAGAACAGCCATATAAATCTTTGTCTAGCAGTGGTACCAATAAGAGGGTGATAAAAAGCTTTCTGGTTGGCCACTTTCCAGAATTAGAATTTTAACATTTGGCCATTTAAAATGTTGATTTTTAGGAAGTTTGTCAGATGCCCCTCACATCAATGTGTGTATATATAGATATTTCTCCATAGGAGACTATATATAAAATAATAATAGACATAATTAATACAAAACAATAAGCAAAATCTTGAAGGCAGAACTTACTCCATTACCTGTAATGATTGCCACAAGGAATACAGCAGAACTTGGTCTCCCCCGCCCCAAAGACCTGGAAAGGGTGTCTTGGCTGAACTTGGTCCTTAAGGGCTATAGCATGGATACCATCAAGTCCACATGCTTCATGCGAATCCAGTTTAGAGATGATAGCAAAAACCATGGACCAAGTTATATGCATATCGTTCAATAGAGACTTGGTTCTAAGTGGAAAGTCAGGCAAAGATACGCCAGATGAGTCAAGAATAGAATTAAGAGAATTTCCAAGTAAAATATTCTGCTTTATCAGCAGATGATGATAACACCTCAAACTGAGTGAAAAGAGGACTTACTCTTATTTAACACACTATTGCAGTGCTGCCAGTAGTCATGTGAACCAAAGTTGTTGGAATGAGACACTGTATAACCTCTATCAGCAAACAAAGACTTAGCCTTAGGATATGTTTACAATTATGAGCAGACACAAAGAGGCTGTGTTCAGAACTGTCATGCTGGTACAGCTGGAAAAAGTGATTCCTATGAGCTATGGCAGTTGAACAGGCTGTTGTGAACAAAGAAGATTGTGGTTTCACCTGGTATTTCTGAGATGGTACATATGCTGGCTTTAACCCAAGAAGAAACCTCTGTAGTGCAATTCTCAATACAGAGGTGAAGAAAATCAACCCAAGGGGCATCTCAAAGAAAGTGTAGGAGATAAGGGGTATGTATTTTTCAGCATGTCCACTTCAATACTAAATGAGACACAAGGTTGGCTTAAAGTGTGTTTAACGGAGAGGTACAGCCTGTTGGGGAAGAATATTTTTTTAAACTTCCCTGCATAGATTTTCACCTAGAGTAGGGAAGCATGAATGATTTTCTAAGTGTGGCTTAGATGTGGCACAAGGCCAAAACTGTGGAGCACACTGTGTGGATCGAACTCCCTACTCAGTCATAATTGTTCTAGTGAGGCAAGCTTGCTAATGATTGCATCAAATCAAGGTGCCCACCACATCCTAAGTGGTATATTTCAAATTTTTTTTGATGAAATTCACTCCATGAAAGGCAATAAAGCCTCTAAGACACAAGTGGTTACTCAATATGAAAGATTAAGAAAAAGGATAAGCATTATTAAGGAATGATAACAATAGAAGAGTAATGAAGAAGACATTATATAATGATTACCGTTGCATTTAAATTTCTGAAGATCAAAGTTGGCGGGAAAGCAAGAAGCCAAAAGAGTGTTCCACAAATGTGAGAAAAGAAACGGCATTAAACTTAGGGTTACATCTAGCCAATTTGATTTTAAATTGATGTGACCTTGTTGCTAATCTAGTACTGCATTTAAATTCATGAAGCCTAAGTATTCTAGCACAGGGTTGTGGAGTCAGTCAGAAGCAATTAAGGTGATGTTGGAGTTGATAAAACTATACCGACTCCAGTTGAATTTACACTTTATGTGAAAAGTCTTACATTATAGAAGTTTTGTTATTTCTTCTACTGTATATTTACTATTTCCTTTAAAGAAATTCATAACTTGTTTTTAAAGTCATTTCATTTTTTATTAGTTATTTTGTATTTACAAAAGTTTATATGTAAAAAAAATCTTGCGTTATAGAATTTTTATTTTGATGTCTTTTACATTCTCTAAAAGATTATATTCCAGCTTCTGTTATAAAGTAGTTTTATTTTTGTTCTGTATTTATTTGCATATATATATATATATATATATTTCGATTATAGGTGCAGTTTAATTGAATCATTCATACAAAAAACAAATATAGAGGTTAATGATTTAAATGGCGAGAATACATCTTTGCAAACAATTTCAATAAGATAAAAAAGACCTTATGAAACTGAAATTTATAAACAGGGATCATATCATTCATATACAGGTTCGGGGTTAGTGTATCTTATTGAAATTGTTTGCGAAGATGTATTCTCGCCATTTAAATCATTAATCTCTATATTTGTTTTTTGTATGAATGATTCATGTTATATATATATATATATGGAAAAACAGACATAAATCGTAATATGCAATTATGCTGTTTTAATGTTAATATAATGTCAACGTATTCCTAAAATAGAGTACATGATCATATTGAAACGGAACGCTGATCTTGAAAAATTTCAGTTATGTGTTTTGATTAGTCTTACTCTTATGTCCATCGTCTTTTCATGTTGAATTGAATATAGTCTAATGTTAATTGTTTTATGAATGTCCTGAAGATGGTCTACTAGACTGAAACGTCTGACGTTGACATTATATTAACATTAAAACAGTATAATTGCATATTAGGATTTTTGTTTGTTTTTTCCGTATATTTTTCTTCATACTGTCAGATCTATATCCATATATTTGCTTATATATATGTATGCATGTAAAAAGTCTTACATTATAGCATTTTTATTTTTGTTATTCTATATCCTTTCAAAGATTTAGATGATATGGAAGAATGAATAGGTATGATATAAAAGCCACAATATCTTTATTCTTAGATATAAAGCAGTCTTAATGATATAGGCCTACTCAAGTTAGGCGTGTATGCATAGGCTTTATGAAATTTGTAGGCCATAACACTTGATTACATAAAGAGGAGTCAGAGGTGCCAAAAATAGAGGAGTCTGTCGTCAGTTTTGTGTTCCAACACCACAGCCCTGTTGAAGCATCTTAACAAATATTTTGAACGTATTTATAGGAAGGGCATGGGACCTACCTAGATTTGTCAGAAAGTAAAGCCTTAACTGTATACTTTATCATGGCATTGAGAGTTTCTCACTGGAAACTACTGCATGGTCCGTCTTTACAAGAGTCAGATTAGACCAAGTAGTGTTGCTGCCATATGTGAGCTGTCTAATACTCACTTTACATCCTTGACAGGCTTCAAAATCATTTACGTGGTCTTTTGGGTGATGAATTAATTTCCACCTGACAACTCCTTTCCCACCAATGAAATCTCTCGCTACATTATTGATATTTTCATTCAGATGTTCAGATGAGACAATTCCTTAGTTCTAGCAGTCTAAACCTTGACATCTTTGACCTGCCATGCAATGTAGACAGGGTCTACTCTTGTTCATTACTTTTGTATTCCATTTGTAAAGAGGGAGTTTCCCTCAGAGATACTTCCCAAGTTGAACAAGCTCCCAAGAGGATGTTTCCCTGATCACCATGATGTTAACCTCTCCAACCTGAGAGTCGGCCATTATCTATCCTATATATCTCCATAATATGCAATTGTTGTTCTTTTTACACTCTTACAACAAACTCATTCAGTACTACCTTGAGTAACTCTTGGGCCTTTTATTAGGTGAAAATAGTATACAAGAAAAAAAAAAATGCCACAGGGTAGTGATAATTTGAGTTACTATATAGACTCGAGGATAGGTGACTTTTTTTTTTTTTTTTTTTTTTTTTTTTCACCAAAATTTCAATAAAAATCAGGGGGTGCAATGTATCCACTTGACATGATAGAGAATCTGAAGTAGACTGTGGTGTATCACTAATCCACGTGAGTAACCTGAGCTTGAGAATGAGTATAAACGAGAGCACAGAGAAAAGGAATTCTTCCTGACATTTCAATTTTATACAACCACTTCTTTCAACAGTACCGTGTCACACATTGAATAAAAGCGCTTGATCTGCACTGCTCATATGTAACATTTATTATCTGATTTACAATGAAAGAAAATCATTTTCAAGTGATTTTAGGACTGAAGTAATTATCAGTATCCACATTTACGTCTAAACAGAGCAGCCCCACACTCTATAAGTAAATACCATGCACTTAAAACCAATCACTTATGTATTAAAATATATAAGCAAAGTAAATAGTTGTCACCAGTGTAGATAACAAGTCGGGTGAACTGATAACAGTAAGATTGTTGATAAAGAAAAGGAACAAAATACCATTTATATTCAAGAATAGGTTGCACTTTTTTTTTATCTAAAATTTCAATAAAAATTATGGGTGCGACCTATCCACTTGACATCATAGAGAATCTGAAGTACACTGTGGCGTATCAGTAGTCCAGAATAGCACCCTGGGCTCAAGCTTAAGTGAGAGTAAGGGAGAAAAGGAATTCTAATTTTATACAATCGCTTCTTTCAACATTGCCGTGTCACAC